TTAACTGCTTCCACCGTGTTTCAGAAATGTCACGCCCCTTACCATAACCACGAGATTCAACACACTACTAACACAACCTTTTTGTGTATGCCTCGAGTGGGAATTATTTAAATGAGTAATATTGTGACGTGTACATTCCCAGAAGAAAACTCCACTACAATCAAGGTGTTTCAGGGAGTTTAGAAATAGTGCACACTGATATAGAGTATAACTCCTTTTGGAATGACTTTGTGATTTGTACCTTTTTCATGCACAAATAGCAACATTACACACTAAAGAAAGTTAAAAATGTAAATCCTATCACCCTAATTAAGATTTCTGCATTTGTTATTTTTAAATGAACTACTTGAATAGCTTTTAGCAGTTATCTACCTTTTGTCAGTAGCATAGGGAGCTAACTGCTTTTTTAAAATTTTTTTTATTAGCTTGACTGATTAATTACTTTTATGACTAGCTTGTAGCTTAATAAACTAGTTTCCTCGATTCTGGTTCAGTTTGTTTTGACAGCTGACTGTATAATTTTGTGAGCCTGATTATTATATTGATGCAATGACAATAAAGTATTTTGTAACAAGCTTTTCAGCTGCTAGTTAGCAGGCGTGCTTTTAGCTGTGGCCTGATATGAGATAAATTGGTGTAATAAATTGGTCCCTGAAACTGAGCAGCATTGAGATCATAACCTGCGAGAGCCAATCTTGCTGTGGGAGGATTCTGCTCGCACGTACAGAAAGATTAAACTCAGCGATGCTCCCCAAGCAGACCCTTGTTAACAAACTGGTCAGGTACGCAGGAGACTACAGCGCTGATAATTTCACAAATAAATAAGCTTAGTGGATGCTAACGTATGGACAAAATGCACCCGTGTTGGAAAAATCTGCAATGCGTGCAATGTTTTTGGGTCACTACCTCTACTGGGTGGACCAATGCTCCCTTATTACTCTTATAAGTTGGTTTTATTTAGTAAATCAGAAACAAACGGTGGAAGCAGAGTAGCCTGATTCCTGAAATAAATGACTCTTGTGAATTTTATTATTTTTAGAAAATCAAAAACATACAGGATGACAAATGTTGTGTAGTCTAACTGCAAAACAAATTACTCTTATGGGCCAGTTCTCTTGTGAGTCGATTCTTTTTTGTAAATCCCGATTCCTGATCAGATGATTCACTCAAGCAGTTCTTGTTAGTGAATCAAAAACCAACAGCGAGACACCATTTGGGTTTACATGTTTACACATTGCCTAATAAAAGCCTATAACTGTGAAAAACTGCATTGACAAATAGGTTTACAGCACATTTTGTTAGATTTTTTTTTTGCCCGACCTGATATAAAAAGCAGTACAAAATGTTATATTTCGTGCATCATTTGTCTGTAAGCATGACAAATGAGGCAGTTCCTAACATCTAGGCGTTCCTTAAAGTTATTTTTTTTGTGGGGGGGGGATAATGTTTTACCTCGCCAATTAAATTAATTGCTTTTCCCCCACAGCATATTAGTGTGATTTCTCTTTGAAATATATTATGTTTTCTTATATTTTCTTTTCAGTAAAGTTAATAAATGACTGATTGGTTTGTGGCAGGTGTGCGCTAACAGTGTTATGCTTAGCAGCCGTGTTATTTACATGCCGCAGTGCTTTATTACTGTTGGTTGAATACAGGGATTGGAGGACGTGATTCCCTCAAGGACATTATTTTAATAACTTGTTTCGTAATGCATGTTTCTGTTGAAGAATCAGCGTTAGGAGGAGTACTCACTTCATAAGTGAGGTGTTTTAAAAACTCAAATTTGCAGTCTTTCGATACTGTTTTTCTTTATTTCCAGCCTTTATCAGACAGGGGATGTTGATAAATCAACAGAATCGTGTATGACAACAATAAGCCACTTTGCAAAAATGGAGAACGGCTTTGATTTGTGTGGCACCAGAGAGAAAAGGATTCTCAGTTGTTCACCAAATTATGGGTTCACCAAATTTTAATTCGAACATTTTTATTGTGTCGCAGCTGCACACAGTCCTCTATTGTATTATCTTTCTGTTACTTTATTAGCAGGTTTTTTCTTTTGAAAGCAATTTTTTCGAGGTTCTTTGATGGCCTGGAATACCTCTGTAATAACTTGATACTTTACTAGTGGCGCTAATATCATACAGAAAGGAAAGGCCCTCGACTGCATGCAAAGGAAGCGAGCGTGTGTGAAGTGTGTTTGAGTAATGAATTAAGGTGCAGAGGGATCTGACGCATGTCATCTTCAATGGGAAAAACAAAGGCACAGTTTCTTGTTGAATGAACAGAAGGAAGGACGCAAATGAGAACACTTCAAAGAGGGCTTTAAAATCAATAATCAGAAGTTGCTTGTTTTTCCCTTGCCACGTTGTAACATGATGCATATTTCTCAATTTATCATTGTTATTTTGTTTTATAAAACTTGACATAGGCTTTAAAGAGATAGTTTACACAAAAAGGGAGAATTGTGTCATTATTTATTCACCTTCATGTTCTTCCAAACCAATACACTTTTTGTGTGTATTTGTTTGGAATACAATGGATACAGAATACAGTGACCAGGATCTGTCAAGCTCCAAAAAACAAAAACAAAAACCCATAAAAACACCATAAAAGCCGGTTCACACAGAATGCATTTTTGCTATGAAAAACGTGAGTTGCAAGGCAGTGGAATGAAAAAAAAAAAAACGCAAGGTTTCGAGATGCGTATTTATAAAAGTTTAACTTGACCGCCACATTTTTAGAACACAGCGGGATCATTTTATGGATTTAGTTTTAATTAATTAATTTTGTTTTAAAAAAAAATTTTTTATGCATTTTATGAATTAAGCAGCTTGTAGAAACAAATACATGAAAGTAATAATTTAAGACATTTACCCTTATATAGAACCTTTTTTTTTTTTGGCATAGAGGGTTCTTTAAATTTTAGTTAAGAACTCTATAGGGTTCTATATTGAACCACATTAAATCTTTTTTCCTATAAGAGTGTGGATCATTACTTGAATTTTCAGTCTTCTTTTCACATAAAGCTATATTTTTTTTGGCTTGTTTGGGGCTTTTATGGCAGGAGCTGCATAACATTTTCTAGTTTTGTGTTCTAGTGAGAGAAACAAAGATCACAGCATAAAGGGTTGAAATAAACATGAGGTTTTCTTTTTTTGGCTGACCTATATGTGTAACACCACCATATTCTTATTCACCATCATACTCTTAGTGAAAAAGGTATGGGAGCTAAAACATGTCTTCCAACTTGACTTTCCAGTGACCTCTGTGGAATTAAAGGCTGGATTTTTTTTTCTGCTCTCGGGTTCAGCAGTTCAAATGTTGCATGCTTGCTCATTCAAAATATCCCTTTTTTTAACAGTAGATTTTCAGTGTTGCCATCTGAGCACTGGCACAATGAGTGGGACATCACTCCTAACTTTTATGATTCCCACTTAATAATCAGCACGCTTACAGTATATTATGCATTTTATGAGATTCGTTTATTATAGATTAGGTTTGGTCTTGGCATTTGCTATGCTGCTGTTGCTGTTTCAGAGTATGTACTGGACATGCTACGTCCAATACATACACGGCACATTGCTGTGAGGAAATAAGACATGTTGCTGCTGTACAATAGCATACATGAATTACCCGTAGCAGATCTATACAGGTGGAGCTGGGGAAGGTGGAGGGTTTCTGAAAGCGCACTGCTGCAACTGTTACAGCAAATGCTGACCAAGTATTTGAAAGTTGAGTAGCAAGCTCATTGGCTGCTGATACAGCAGGAACCAATCAGATGTGTCCTACAGAGGACGATGTGAGTACAAGCATATTGAGTTAAGGATCAGCCTGTCCCATCTAGAGTTTCATGACAGAACTTTGTTTTTTCAGACCGAGATAGCATGAGAAGCTCTCATAAAAGCAAGTAATTTATTTTAACAAGCAGTACTATGCATGTAATCTGACATAAGATTATAAATTTAATACTAAAATATCCCTTAATGTCATTTGCATTGCACATTTAATGTATACATGCAGTGTACAGTAATACAGTCAGATGTATTATATTAATATCAATGCATTTATACCGAGATTAACACTGGTCTACCACGACTTGTAATGGTCTTTTTGATGCTTAGTCATGATATGTGGGATTATTATTTACAGTACTAGTGCTTGGAAATTATATAGATCAGTGGCTAAAAACAGATTAACAAGAACCAGGATTTCTCTGAACTGAATCTAATGACTGTTGAGTTCTTTGCTATGGATACCATAGTTCTCCATCGATGTCAACCCCAAGGAGAGTGTCGCATATAAAATGTAATTGTAATAATTTTAAAAGCAATACAAAGACACACGCTGTCTGTCGTATATGCAAATAAGATCAATACATGCCTACAAATAATGTATTTTCCATACTGTCTCAGTAATTGCACAGTAAATAATAATAATAAAACATTCAAATCCAATCAAAATGTGTTTGTTGTGATCTTAATGCAGTGTCTGATAAAATGATGTGCTACAATGAATACAATAAGATACAAGATATATTCATATGTACCCCCCCCCCCCCCCCCCCAAAAAAAAATGTCTCTAACATATTTATACTGTATATTGTTAAATTTTAACACTGCACCTATAGATTTTCATTGCACTTGCAGCACACCTTATTCATGTTGTAAGTTTAATTGGAAACCAATGTAATATCTTGGGTATTGATTTTGACTTTATGTTGATGGAGCCTTTTAATAAAGAGTACATTTTACCTGTACTGTATTTCATGATGGGAAGTAGTTCTGCAATGACTAGAACTTGCATTGCAGTATATTAAAATCATCATTGAGAATTAACATAATGTCCATAATATTCTGAATTATGATATAATTACTCAAGTTTCTCTACAGTGATCATGTGGCCGTAGATAATACATGTACATGCTGGCTAATCTTAATTATATTCATGTATTATCTGAGGAATACATGATAGTGTTCAACTCTTCCCTGTCTCTCTTGCAGAATGATTCCCTCCACGAGTTACGACTTCCTGGTGCGAGACCTCGTATCCGGACGAGAGTATGACTTGTGCGTTCTGGCCGTGTACGACGACGGCATGACCTCGCTGACCGCCACGCGCCAGGTGGGCTGTGTCTCATTTGTCACGGAGACCGAGTACAGCCAGTGCCAGTCGCTCCGGAGCCATTTCCTGGGCGGCACCATGATCATCATCATCGGAGGAATCATCGTGGCCTCCGTCCTCGTTTTCATCATCATCCTCATGATCCGATATAAAGTCTATAGCCATCAGGGGGCAGATTCTGGAAAGGGAACCGCCATGACGAACGTACGCTCGCAAACGAACGGGGGTCAAGCGGCGGGGCAGGTCCCGCGCTCCAGCTCCAAAATCGTAGAGGGCCAGGAGAACTCGGGAGCGGGTTTAGGGGGGGCCGCTGGGGCCGCCGCTAGTTTAAAAGACTCCACTGCCATGGTGCTGGTCACAGACTCTGAGACAGCTGTGCAGATTTCAGAGATGACCTGTGAGGACATAGTCTCCCCCACACAAAGGCACCATCCCAGAACTTGTATAGAGCTCAAGAGACGTCCTTCGCTTTCCTCAAAAGAGGGTACAAGCACAACGGACACACAAGTAGGTAAGTCAAAGAAAATGTGGTAACACTTTACAAAAAGGTTACATTTGTTAAAGGAGTCATGACAATTTTGCATTGATCTTTGACATATAAGAGGTACCATTAAAACATCCTGCAAGTTTCATACCTTAAAGGTGGCATATATTGCCCCTTTTCAGAAGATGTAATATAAATCTATGGTGTCCCCAAAATGTGTGTGTGAAATTTCAGCTCAAAATACCCCCCAGATCATTTATTACAGCTTGTAAAATTTGCCCCTTTTTGGGTGTGAGCAAAACCCGCAGTTTTTGTGTGTGTCCCTTTAAATGCAAATGAGCTGCTGCTCCCCGCCTCCGTTCAGAAGAGTGCAGATCCTTTTACACGAGCTTCGGATACTCCAGCAATAACAAAACACGCGAATAATCTCACGCATCCAAAATCTCAGAAATAACCAGTAGCGTAGTGCAGCCTTACAGAGAGACTCAGGAAGAGGTTGCAACTTGTAGACGCACCTGGACGTTTCTGAATGGTTAGCGGATACATTTATGTAGTTGCTGTGGAGTTACATTGATTCAACTTTGAAGCAAATCCTGCTTTGTACTGTCCAAGATTGCGAAAGCACTCCGGCTTGAAGTGATTAGGGCACACAAGCAGGTTTTTGCTTACTGTTTCTGGGGGATTTCCATTGAAAATAAAATAAATCCACTGCTCTCTTGTCTCCTCTGAGGCTGGGACATAGTGTTCTGTGCTCGTCTGTGCAGCAACGACAGAACAGTTTGCATACTTTCCTCGAACTTTTACCATTGCGTTAGAACTGATTACATTTTTGTCACTTGCGAAAACCAAATGGCGGCGCGTGGGTGGAAACGTGCAGATTAAGGGGCGGTAATATTATAATAAGATCCCCTTCCTACATCAGAAGGGGAACGAAATCTGATTGGCTTATTTTTTTTGACATGCTTGCAGAGAAGGTTGAAAGGTTGTCGCTTTTCACATTATCTGGATTGGTAGATGCACCGGGGACCCGATTATGGCACTTAAACATGGAAAAAAGTCAGATTTTCAAGATATGTCCCCTTTAAAACATGCTCCTTATTAAAAACAAAGAATTTATTTAATCAAGCTCCAAACATGGCTCTTTTTTATATTGCGTGATCTGTGACGTCACACAGGAAAGTACAGGACTTTAATGAATAATTGCAAGAGCAAGTCATAGGTGCCCTCTCACTGGCATCCAGTCGGTTGACGGCCGACATTTGCCTACACCGGATGCGACCGTTGCGTCAAAAAGCTAAAAGAACCCATTATAATCATTGTCTACACTGGATACAGTATACAGATGCGCGTTGTTTCTGACATACTCCACGCACTGGAGTCTGTGTCGAGAACAGGACAAAAGGAGAAGTGAAAGAGTGTTCGCTTTGACGCGTCTAGTTTAAACAGCTTGTTTGCATCTCTTTAAGGACTTCAGAAGGATTCCAGAGGTATGAGCAAGTAAATGGTTTGTTTTAATGCCGTCCCAGGTTGAGTTGGAGCTTTATATGTTTATTCTGAGCTTCATTATTTCCTGTCTCCATTCTTGCTTGTGTTTGGTTGTGAAATGTAGTTTGTACAACAGACAGAGTTGTCGGTGATTGTATTAAAATGTTGTGTACTGTGCACACAAAAGCAACTAAATGGTACCCCAGACAGTTGTGTAGTGTGAGAAGTACAGCGATCCGATGACTTGGAAAATTGTGCAGTGTGTACCCGGGGTTAGTTAATACCGTTTTAGGTACCAGACAACAGCAAGCACGCCAAAACCAAAGGCAAATTGTTTGATTTAAAATGCTTAAGGTTGCTTTCAGGTAATTGCACATTCATATGACACTTTGACCGTGTGCTTTTAACAATGCCTTGGCACTTTACAGCTACTCGGAGTGCATAATATATATATATATATATATATATAGACTCCTGTAATTGCCAGGAATAGAGCTATTCACCTGATTCAATGGGCCACGTCCAGGTATTCCTTGAAGAGCTTTTCCTTTTGTGGAATTTGGATTTATGGGTCCAATCAGGTAATTGCAGTTTCTAGATGAATGCTCATGGAATTCAAGAGGACCTCATCCTTAAATCGTTAAATCGATAAAGTCCATTCAGTCAAGAGCTGGTGATGCAGAAGGCTGAACTTCCATGATTCTCCTGATCCCGTCAGTCACTCAGACATCTAATGACCACGAATTAATTGCAATCATCAATCAACTAAGTTGGCGCAGGATGTGAATTAAAATTTATTATGTCAGAAGGAGCATGATGACTCAGACAGGCTTTTTAGGATCGGGGGAAAAAATATTGAGCTTTTTTAGTAAATGGTCAGAAAAATTTGAGGCTTAACCTACATAATATTCACAGGCAACTTCAGTAGATAGTAGAATACTATATACTAGTGCATAATATGTGCTGGTTCATTTAATATAAATTTTATATGTGGTTTCTGATTAGTTTCAACCCTGTACCACGTACTATATATATATATATAGTACGTGGTACAGGGTTGAAACTAATGAGTGTATATAAAGTATATAAAGAAAAGCATATGTGTGGATAATATTGGACTCATTTTCCTTACAATAGCTTGCATAAAAGGGTTGAATGTTTGAGCCTGGTGAATCAAATCTATAATTTGTGCAAATAATTAAGAAAATTGTATTATTATTATTGGCTGACTTTTTTATTTAGAAAGAGTCCAAACAGTCACTTTTTGAGGATCTTTAATAGGGATAATCATCAGCAACACAGTATGTTTTTAGTAATTATATAAAAAAAAATGTTTTTACTTCAGTGTGTGAATTGTAGTATGAGCTGATTATGTCAAATAACAATGTCGAATTGAATTACTTAATACAAATGTACAAACAGGAGTTTGATACTCATATTACTTGTCATGATGATATGTTAACTGTATGTGTGATAATACTTTACCTAACATATCTATAAGTTTTCACAGCAAAACAAAACAAAACATTGGATTCAAAAGCGTCAACATCTACCTCACAGGATTTCATTTCTGTATAGCTACTGATCCAAAAATGGCATCCCACCAACACACGGTCGATAAACAACATGGAGTGATACAAAATGGCTTTGTGCATTGCATAATACATCAGAGGAATCCGTGTATGGAATAGTATGTTGTATTTACTTTCTGTGCTACAAGTGCCACAAACAGTTTGCTGATTAGTGGAACAGCAAGAGTAGTGACAGATCTTGACATCTGAAAGACGTTTGCTTGTAAATCAAAAGACTTCGTACCAGCAGAGAATTTGTTTTGGCACTGCATAAGAGTCAGGATTACACAGCTCTCAGGAATATTTGATCTTGATTGGTCAATTGCAGCTGTATATTTGACCCCTGTCCCTGTTCCGTGATAGCAGCTTTGCTAGTCTCATATCTCAGCACTCATATTCATATTTCCCCTTGTGAATAGGATGCACAATTTAACATACTTTTAAGAAGAGTACTTATTGTGGAAATAATATACTCAAATGCAAACTCAATGAAATGTTTTCTCTGACACTTCAAAACACAAAATGTTAATACAACAATGATTTCAACTGATGAAGTAAAACTTTTAGTTTGGCATTATTACAAAGTTCACCCTTTTTAAAAGTGTACTTAAAGGATTAGTTCACTTAAAAACAAAAATTCTGTCATCTTTTTCTCACCCTCAAGTTGTTCCAAACCTGTATGAATTTCTTTCTTCTGTTAAACACAAAATAAACTATTTTGAAGAACGTGTATAAACGAACAATTGATGGACCCCATTGACTTCCACAGTATGGAAAAAAAATATATTATGGAAGTCAATGGGGACCAGAAACTGTCTGGTTACCAACATTTTTCAAAATATCTCCTTTTGTGTTCAACATAAGAAAGAAATTCATACAGGTTTGGAACAACTTGAGGGTGAGTAAATGATGGCAGAATTTTCATGTTTGGGTGAACTATTGAACCCTTTAAGAAACAGACAAGTGTACTCTTTAAGCACACTTAAGTGGCATTTTATTTCATTAATACTATATAATAAAAAAATATACTTTTAAGATTTGAAGGATACATTTATTATAATTAAGTCTATTTATGTATTGCGTTTAGCCACATAAGTGGGATACAAATACAATTTTGTATCGGTATTACTACGATATTTTGGTATTTTATTTCAGGGTTTATTCTGCCTCCGGATCACCTCATCAGTGTTCACCTTATTTTCACAATCAGCTGAATGCATATTATCCCTTATTTATCTATTCTGTGACACATTATATTGTAGTTGTGGTAGTAGAGAAGATCAGCTACACTAGCCCTTCTGCCACCACAGACCGGCTGTTGTCCTTCACCTCCGCCAGCAGACTCCCATTAAGTGGTCTTCTGAGAGAGACGCGAGAACACTCTGTCTTGTCACTAGCACAGTCCTACCCGTCCCTCACGGCTGTTTTTCTGTCTTCCCTAGACACCGCAAACCCACAGGTCAGTGACGAGAAGAGGGTTCAACGAGATTGGAGCGACTTTAAAATTTGATGACTCCTTCCGCTGTCCCGCAAGAGACAGCCATCATCCCTGAAGAGTAATGCCACCTTTCTTTTTTACTTCTTCTAAAGTCATCTGCTATGTGGAATTTTATAAAGTTCATTTATTTTTGTAAATGGTCAGAACTTTGCTGTAAGAGACTGAAAACACCCTGAGATGAAGCTATAAGACTCAGATACTGTCCTACGCATAACAAACTCGTTTTTTTTTTTTTTTTACACGGGTTCTGGCGTAGTTTCTGAAGGCATGTCTGGTGCATATGACAGCTCTGTTTCATCTCTGTTCTGTGTAGTGTGACAGATGCACTTGTTCTCTATTCGGGTTTGTATTTCCAAAAAAAAATCTGCACTACCAGCTGAGACATCTGCTCTTCATTTGGGTTTTGAAACTGTTTTGTTTATTGTTGGCCTCTCTCTCTGTATCTCTCTCTCTCTCTCTCTGTTTTCAACCCACCCCAGAGCACGCCAGGTCATCTGATTATGGGGAGAGGAATATGGAATAATTTGTCTGAACCCCTACTGGACTTTCTCCCTTGAGTGTTCACTTCTCACACTGTATTCCAAGGACTATCCAACCGTTTCCTACCGGGACACATTTGAGGACTCAACTCAATCCACTACTGCAACGAATGGAAACGGAGCACAATAATTGTTCTCCATTGCTGGCTTTTGGAACATATTGCCTTTTACATCCCGCGGCCGGGACTGTCTATGTGTTTGCTGCCGACTTCAGTATGCATTGTTTACTGGACGGTTTGGGTTCGAGAATAACACCTCACTGGAAGGGGTGAGTATACACTTGCTCTTTTGGAAAGCGAATATTCACCTTAAACGTGTCTCTACCTGCTAATGCAAACTGAAACATTCGAAACATTTCCTTAAAGTTGAATGGGTCTAACATTTTACTCATGAAACATATTCTATCAAGATGCAATACATCAAAATTCAATCAGTTCTCATAATTGTTCTCACTGGTTTAACAACATAAAATGTTTTGTCAATAAAATTATGTAGAATGTTATTCTCAATAATGCTTTTGTATGTGACGGGGCTCATCTTACACAAACATAATAGAAATCAAAGTTATTGTGATTCTTCCAATTCCATCTAGTTTTAAATAATACAAATCAAAACAATTAATTCAACGTATAAAAAGCCACTCTATATACCACTATATTTGTGTGTATACATAAATACTGTATATACAGTATAGATGCAATTCACACTTGAATTTGAATGTACACTAGTGTTATTAAACATTCTATTATATCGGTTTAATATTATAAATAAATGTTATATTAATAATTCAATATATTACTTAAATATAATAGCAAGGATCCATTAAATTCAGGTTTGCCATCACAGGAATATATTTAAAAATATTTTAAATAGAGATGCACCATTTGACTGGCCAGGGACCGGAATCTGACAATTTTGCGCATGATCGCCCCCGACGAGTGACCGGCCGGTCAGTCTCATGTCTTTCCGATTCCGAGTCTGTTTTGTTACCAGCGGCACAGGAAACAACATCAGCTTTGTAATCTTGCACTCTTCTCTCCGTCGGCAAAGTGACACACACCTGCCTCCTCTTACTCACTCCTCTCATTCGCTCCGGTTAAATAGTGTTTGTATTGTGCATCATTTTAGTATTCCCGCAGGTTTCGCGCTCAGACCAAAAGCGCGCGCACCACTGATCTATATAAGTGAAGCGAACAAGCCGCCTCTCAGTCTCAAGCAGCTTGTGAGTCGCAAGTACCAAAATGAGTGGTTTACACACAAAATTGTGTCAAAATGCCCGTCTTCCTCGGTGCCAATAGCCTCGTGAGCAGCGCGGCGACATATAGCGCAGTTACGCTTCGGGCGTCCCGAGTTCGAATTCCGACTCATGGGCCGATCCCATCCCCCTCTCTCTCTCCAACTTTGCTTCCTGTCAACTAACTGTCCTGTCATAATAAAGGCAAAACACACCAAAATAAATCTTTAAAAAAAAAAAAATGCCCATCTTGGCGAGTATTCAGTTCAACACAATCAGTTTTGGAATAGTTGAGAAAGATAACGCATGTTGTGTAACAGTATTTTGGATCTGTGCATAAACTCTTAAAGTGACAGCAGTCTTATTCCTGTTGCTGTCTGTCATGTTAATCAAAGAACAAAAGACAAAGAAAATCACTCTCTGCTCTCACTAAATAAGTTGTATTACTTTAATTGTAAACATTAATCTGTATTTAACTTTTACAATGAAGACTATCCGTGCTATTTTACATTTCATTACTTTCTTACCTGAATAATAACCTACCGTGACCCACAAGAAAAATGTAATCGGTGCATCTCTAATTTTAAAATACAAAACAGTTAATTTAAATTGTAATAATATTTTGCAATATGGGCATAATGGTATTATATATATATATATATATATATATAGTAAGGTTTGCTCACTCAAAAGAGATCAGAGTCAGTGATTAGGAAGCTCTCAGCTCTTGTGTTGACATTGCTGTGTCTGTCCTGAGGTTATCAGCTAATGTCTTGCACCTCAGCTTCATGTATCAGAAGCTCTACCAAAACTCATGATCACTCATGTGGAAATATAATTAACTTGTTTGTGTTGCATAATCAGTACCTTTCATCTCCAAGTATCACCTCTGACTGCAAACAAATGCCAACATAAGGCCATAGTAAATGCCAAGTATGTACATTTTCCCCATTTAAGACTAGACGTCAAGCAGAGGTTATGATGGAGCCATTCACAATTTACAATTTACATTACGGTTAAGGTGACTTAACAGCATAGTTGTTGCACAGTGGATATGAGGATTGTATGCAAGCTCAGTAACAGCGCAACAGCCTCATGAATTATTTGATCATACTGGTATTTTTATTTTAACTGTTGCTAAAAATTCCCTCAGCATTCATGCTTGGTGACGTCAGAACAGAGGTTTGACAGAGCATGTCAAAAGAAATATACAGGATGCTGCACGCAAGCCAAATGCACCAGGGAATGTTACTCAGGCACTGGACAATCCATCGAAATAGCACGTCAAAAAAATATATATATATGTTGGTTTATAATTTCAGAAATAATTCCAAAGAATCTGCAGATAACAATGAATTAAACATGACATTTTTAGAAAAGTTATAGAAATAACTACTATTTTCTTGTAAAACGTACTCTAGTGATCTCTTATTTTTGATCTCTCTTTTATTTACAACTTCAAAAGTAAAATTTTTTACAGTGTAAATGAAGATCTGGATGTTCCTGGAGGCACTTTCATTGTTCGCTGCAAAAAAAATATTTCTTACTTAGCATTTTCCAGTACAGATATCTAAAAATTCTTAAATCAAGAGAAATTTACATGAGAAGCAGAATTAGTTAGGATATTAAGGGAATAGGAAGATATATATATATATATATATAGAGAGAGAGAGACTTATGTGTATATTATGTGTAATATAATACTTTTTGTTTTAATACTTAATGGTGACATACTGTATTTTCAGAGAATAAACAGCACTCAAAAACTTTAGCTGTCGATTAAGTTGCAACTCTCTTGATGAAATATTGATTGAATTTGATGACACATGTGGCCTGGCTGTCTGTGACCTGAGAAAGGTGTTTGATGCCGATGTCACACGCAATCAGTGGGATTCTGTTTAAAAGTCTTCCTGCTAAAGGAGCTGACAAGGATAAATTGACAGGCCAACGATTGGCGCTTCACCTGGCTATTGATCCCAAAATCAAAGCCTCTGCTTTCCATGACTTTGAGAAACGAGAGCAGTTAAAAGTTCGAAATGCAAAGTTAAGATGGATTGAGATGTTTGTTCCCCTGTTTCAATGCTTAAAGCTGTGAATCAAACCTAGCTGTTGTCGACTGAGATTTGCCTCTGTGATCTTGATTATGTAAGGAGGCCATTGACAAATTATCCACATATAGCTCTTCAGGCATCTAACAACAATAGCTGAGAGAAAAATGAGCAATCATTTCTTACTGTGACATACATTATACACTACTGTTTAAATGTTTGGGGGAAGTTAGTTTTCAACATTGATAACAATAAATGTTACCTGAGCAGCAAATCAGCAGAATGATGTCACGTGACACTGAAGACTGGAGTAATGTTCCTAAAAAATATACATTTTCTATGACTGATCTTTCCAACCCTGTTATTTCAGACCTTCATCTCTCATCTAAGTTTTTATATTTTAAAACAAAAATAGTCCAAATGAACTGCAATTACACAGTATTTTAGTTGTTGGCACCCCTTCGCCACACTTAGCATTTCGTTTTGACTTGTCAAGCCTCATTTCTTCGCCAATTAAAAAATCATTACGTGACTAATCACTTCTCCATGCCGATGACACCGTGATAATCTCACTGAACACATTTCGCTGCCACAGACGCTTATACAGGTTGTCCGTTTTGATTACTTATTTGCCATTTAATCACAGAAATGCCATTAAAACAGAAATTACACTTACAAGAGCAGTTTTAAATATTGATATGTAATAATTAATTATATCGGGATCGTAAATGCAATCTCACCTCTGGTTTAGACAGTTGGCTCATGGTAAAGACCTTGAAATGTCCTTTACCAATGTTGGATTGGATTGGAATTGTGAAAAGCATAGTTTCTGCTGTTTTAATTAGCTGTTCTTGTGATTTGTTATTTTCTGTGAACACGGTGTTGAAGGAGTTCACGGCGATGTTATCTGGCCTCTGTCTGCTCACCCAGAGGGGATGTTTGCTGATACCTTAATTCTTTGTTCCACCTTCCACCTCTTTGAGATAAGTACTCCGCAATTAGTAATTACCACAACATTGTTAATCACATAGTACAGCCGAGTTCCTGGAAATTAACGGTTCGGTGATGGTTTTGTTGCAAATGTTTTGTTTCTTGGAGACCCTTCAGCGTGCGTTTTCTAGCTAATTGAAATTAGGAATGAAACATGTAATGACTCACGAATTTGCCCTTTCCGTGAGCCCAGATGCTCCCCTCATAGGGTCAGAGAAAACGCGAATTTACTCACTGCTTAGATTAACCAGATGGATTTAAATGGTCGCCCACATTGACTTCTTCAAATGCATCTTGTTTCGTTCGGAGGTGGTCACACTGGATTTTAAGGACTTGCCGAATATTGCAACAGCCAGGATATAATGCCCACATTCCATGGCTTGTGATTTGAAGAAATACATTTACAAATGTTTTATTGAATTTAATTTCATTTTACAAAAGGACAGATGGTTTGGAATATTGATGGATTATTCACAATGCTAATATGTTTGTTAATTCACATTCCAGTAATATTGCAACTCTTTCCTTGATTTATGTTTTTGAAACATTCACCAAATTGAGAGTTTTCTCCAATTTTTATTTTGAATGCACCAGGTTACTGTGATGTTGATTAAGCATATTTTCACGATATGAATTTATAGTTGAGATTTCCCCGAAATGTAACTTTTTCAGGATGGCATATATTGGCGCTATATTTTATAACCAGATAGATCAGTAAGTGATATAATGTTATTATAAAAATCTACTTGGACAAAATCTGCTTTTGTTTTTTACCTAAACGTATCTGATAACCACCATGATAACACAGATGACAAAATAGAAAGCGACATGATGAATCAGATTAATTATAGCCAACACTCATTTTTAGACAGTGTCATACACACAAAGACACAAAAAAAACCATCAGTTACACACAACACTAAAAAAAATAATGCAATAAACATTAATAGAAAATGCAACATAACATGGTGCATTACTGATAATAAAAATATAATG